CTGACTTTAATACAAACGTTTGCCCTCTCCTCCTCCCCCCTGCCCTCCTTCCCCTAGCCAGTGCTGGTCCCACGCACACGGCTATATCCTGGCAGCAGAAAGCGAAAAGCTCCAGGCCGGCCCCGGCATCCATGTAGACGTGCCTTCAAAATGCCATCCCTCTCTTTCTGACTCCACCTGGAGGCCTCCGAGAGCAAATCTCCACCTCTGTCCAGCTGTCCTTGGGCGGCAGGCTGGGTGGGCTGTGCAGGCGCTGCTGGCAACCTGTTGGTTTTCTGCAGCTCAGACCCCAGCTCCGTCTGCCTCTGTGGTTTGGGGGCAGGACTCAGATAGGTAATTTTGACTTCTCTCTGTTCCCACAAAGATTTTCAATTCTTCAAGCCATGCTGCTTCTACTCAATACCCTTCTGAAATCTAAATTTGGAAGCTAACCTGAATCGATTGCATTTCCTCTTTTTTTTTTTTTTAAGATTTTATTTATTTGACAGAGAGAGACATAGCAAGAGACGGATCACAAGCAGGGGGAGTGGGAGAGGGAGAAGCAGGCTTTCTGCTGAGCAGGGAGCCCGATGCGGGGCTCCTGGGATCATGACCTGAGCTGAAGGCAGATGCTTAACGACTGAGCCACCCGGGCGCCCCGATTGCATTTCCTCTTACGACAGAGCTGCCCTGGGCTTCCAGGAGCAGCAATGTGCGTCCTTCCGACGTGCCGCACAGGGGCTCAATCCACCACTTCCATCCTTCAGGCATCACCCACAGAGATCCTGGGGCTGGCGTGGGGCAGATCGAACAGGGAAACACCGTCTTCACCCTGACTTTCTCCCACCCTGCCTGGGGGAAGTACCGAGTCTTCAGAAAATCTTGGCGCTGCCCTTCCCTGGCTATGTCATCCTGGCTAAGTCACGCAGTATCTCTGTTTCTCACCTTTCTCTCAGCTCTAAAATGAAACAATTTCCTCAGAAAGTGACAGAAAGTCACAAGTCACGTGCAGAGTTCCATGAGAATTCTAACAAGAAATCCGTCTGTCCCTAAGTCAGTCGTTCCTAATGCCCGTACTGAACCACCAAGCCGCTGTTTCATAAAATATTTTAACACAGCATTATTTTCTCTCATGTAACTCTTTGAGAGTTTCCAAATTTTCTACAATAAATATGAATGAATTTTTTTCCTACCAAAAAAAGGAATATAAAACCATATTCATATTATAAAAAAATCACACATTCAAAGAAAATATACTGAAATGCATTATTCCCTATGTTGGACAACTGCTTCCCTTCCAAGTTCCTCTGAAGGATCTGGAGCCCTTCCGTCAGGAGAGCGAAGGACCAGAGCAGCCTCAAGATGGCGCAAACAAGATGGCACAGACAAGATGGCTTCCTCACACTCAGTCTCCCCAGCTCAGTCTTTCTAGCTCCCTCCCCCTCACCACATGCACCCAGCCTGACCCAGCCATGACAGTGCCAGGACTACTTCCTCTGTGTTTATCATTTACCTCCTAAAACTAGCTCCCATCCAATTAATCAACCACATTCTGTACGAGGTGCTGTGGATGATGCCTGAAGGATGGAAGTGGTATTAAAAAGTCCAAAATACTGGTTCAAGCCCTTAAAAAGGCTACCGTCCAGCTCTGGACTCAAAGGCAAACCCACGGAGGCACAGGAATATAAGCCATGAGTGCAAAGAGTCGCTGACAAGAAAGCTTCAAGTACCTCGGAGCAGGAAGAGCTCAGACACGTGGCCTGGCACAAACCCACTCCCACCCCCAGGGCAAAGACCTTGAGCCAAACTTTCAAGGATGGAGGAACACATAAAGGGAGCAGGGACAGCAAACCCAGACAACTTCTCGAAGGTTGGGGCTTCGATGCGAAGGCAAAGGCTGGGCATTCCTGCGAGCAGATAGGTCTGGCCGGAGGAGGCAGAAGGCACTGGGCAAGGTGGGAACCTGGGAGGTGATGGTTGCAGCTGGCTGTGGCCGACCCTGGCCATCAGCCTCCAGGCTTGACCGTGATTCCTTAGGAAACAGAAAGCCACTAGAAGCCGGGCCCTTGGGGAGTGGTGCTTCCCACGCCGACGGCAGGAGCCACGCATAATCAGTGGAACGCTAGCGTGAGAGACCAGGCCCAGGGCACGGGGCAGAGCGTACTGCCCAACATCCGGGGTCAGCAGTGGGAGCCTTGCCGAAAGAATGGGAAAGCAGGTGCCAGACAGAGTCTGGAGGGGAAAAAACTAACTCATCTCCATGTGCTTTCCCTGCCATATCAGCATCTCCACTTTCTCTTTAAAGCATCCTTGGCAGCCTATAGTTAGAAAAACATGACAGTAGCAACAACCTGTAACTGTTTTTCTAAAGGCAGGATTTGGGACGTGGGCACTGAGAATCTTAGCAGAGAGGCTGATTCTAAGGAAGCCTGGGGGGGCCCCCCACGTCTCAGGACACCCAAGGAAACCTGTTCCAGGAGTGAGCAGCCCCTCGGGGTAACAGTGCTCACGACCTGGGAGGGGTGGAGCTCTCCAGGAGTCCCACCTGCAGGAACTCGCTAAGAGTCCACAGGAAGGTTTGAGAAATCTGAGCAGCCTTGAACAGGCCACCTCCCACTCCGTACCCGGAGGGCTGGACCCAAGTGGCCTTGCTCCTACGGTATGCCCAGTGCCAGGCTCTCACAGGCCCGCCGTTAATCCCTGAGGAATAAAGAACGCCAAGGTCAAGGTTTCTTTATCCTTCAGAGGCAAGGGATAGAGACAGGCTGCAGAGCAAGTGGACACCAGAATCCAGGCCCCAGGAGCGCTCGCCACCCTCAGCCACCCTCACCCTGCAGCAGGCGGCCCCAGCGGGCCTACTGCATCAACAGGTGGGACGCACAATGCCCAAGGCAAGCAAAGGCATGGCGCACCAGCAGGTGGGGTGGAGAGGAGTGTCCTCTCCATTTCCTGACTCCTCCCTGACCTCTTCTTCCGGGCTTCCCATTGCTCCAAATTACACTCAGCAGCCAGGAAGATAGCACCCACCTAGTCGCAGCTAGAATTCCTGGCTGGTCCGGGAAAAGCTCTCAAGCCAGTCTTCCTACCAGCTCCACCTCAGAGGTAGCAAGTCAAGAAAGCTCCGTCTTCCCACCCCACAGCACCCAACCCAACCCGCCCCCAGTGCCAGACATGTCCTTCATCCCCCAGGGAATTGCTTACATCACAGGAGAGCACACATGGAAAGAAACCCAACACCTCCCTACCTCCCCCATGTGAATCAGGCTTTTGGTTTCTCAGAAGTTCCCACCCCTACCCCAACCAGCTGGCACCGACGGGCGAATGGGTTTTCCTCTTTACTTGCTCGGTGTAGGCAGTGGGCCACGGTGCAGGCCACAGCTAGCCCGGACGCAAAGTCTCAGGTCCCCACCCCAGATCTACTGAATCAAAGACTCTGGGGCTGAGGTCCAGAAGCCTATGACTTAACAGGCCCTCCATCTGACTCTGACACATGCCAAAGATTGAGGCAGACTGGTGCCGCAGCTAAGAACCTCAATTCTGGAACAGACCATCCAAGTTCAATTCCCAGCTCCACTCCTCAGCAGGCAGTATCAGCACCTATCTCCTGGGGTTGCTATAAAGACTAAATGAGTCCCTGCATGTCTGTGCACTTAGTAAATACCATTCACATTCTATTACTCCTCTTTGGAGCATGTGGGAGTGTGGCTCTACCATATTTCGTTTCCTAACTGAAACCAATACTAAAACGACTTGTGTCCCTACGTGGAGCCTTACAGTGAGACCCGGGCTATCTTGCACTCTCTCTTTTGGGTCCTATGGGTGGGTCTTTGGCAGGTATCTGAGTAGAATCAAAGGCCCACCCCGTAAGCTTCTAATTTGTCTGGAAACAAACTGGGGATTGCAACTACCCAGGGCAGATACAAGTTCAAAGCATCCCCTGGACACTTGTGACATGACATCAAGAAGACCAAGGCGATATTTCAGAGGGTGCTCAGAGATCTGACCACATCCCACCTAGAAGGACCCAGCAGGGATCACTGGCGAGCAAAAATTATACCAATTATTATTATTGTTATCATTATCTTTATGCTTATTTGTAGTTCTGGAATTATCATGAGAACACGAGTTAGAAGCTCAGGAAGGGAGGTGGCAGCCTTGGATCTGCCTTGGATGCCAGCCCTATGGACCCCCAATAGCTGCTTGTACTCAAGTAGGTGATTCGCACTCTGACCTTGGGGACAGCAAGTGTCCAATGACCCATCGGTCCCTGGGCCAGACGTGACCAGGGCACATCAAAAGTCCCCCCTTCTCCAGAAGCACTGAGGAGAACGTTTTACATGGGACAGATTCTGACAACTGCCATTAATTGGACGGCACGCCTCGCTTTGCTGCACTCTGAAACGCTGCTTCCCCAACCCACCAGGAACTGTAACAATCACCCTCAGGCAGCTCTCCGGCGAGAAACCGGGTGTGTTTTTAATAGCCTCCACAGAGGCAGCAGGAAGGGAGGAGTCATTATTAGCTGCGCAGCCCACCTCCCGGAGAGATGACATAGTCATCCAACTTACTACCGAAGCGCATGAGCTCCAAACCTGAGGCCTTGACTTTGCAGACAGTTAAGCCCGCCAGTGTCCCTCCCTGTCTGACCCCACCAAACGCTAAGCTGCACGAGCTATTTCCTCCAAGTCGGCCGGCCTGAGCCTCCAGTTCCATTTGGCCGCGCGACTAGTTAGTTTCTGCACTCGGGCTCGAGTCGCCAGGAGGGAACGGGGAGCCAGCTGGGCTGACATGTTTCCACAATAAAAGCAAACTTACAGCTGGGGCACAGAAGAAGCAGGTAATTCTTTCCAGCAGCCCCGGCCTCCTGGCCAAGACAGGTTAGAAAGGGTAAGAGGGAGCCTGCGGGAGCCAGGAGGTACCGGCTCCCCCCACTCCCCCGGCACCGCGCGCAGGGCCCCAGGGGTTTACCGGGGCCCTGCCCGCCCGCTCAGAGCCCCGTGGGCGCCGGCGGGTGTCCTTACCATTCAGTTGCCGATAGACGATGTCCTCGAGCAGCGAGAGGCGCTTCAGGACCGCATCCTGGATGGGGCTGGCGCTGTGCGCGCTAAGGTTGGCCGCCTCGGCGCGCGGCCGAATCTCGTGGAAGGCGTCCCCGCTGCGCACCGAGATGGGCCGGCACTTGGCCAGGAAGAGCACGAAGCCGGCCACCGCGATCAAGTTCAACACCAGCAGCACTTTGACTCTTCTCAGTGAAGCCATCAAACACGCCCGGCCGGCCCTCGCCCCGGACCCGCGCCCCCTCGGGCTCCGGCGAGGCGCGGGGCAGCCGGGGGCCGTGCGAGCCTCACACTCCGGACGGCCGGCGGGGAGCCCAGAGGCTCCTGGCCCCGCAGCGCGGATGCTCCGGCAGCGGGACGGCTGGGAGGACGGGGCGGTCAGGGGGAGAGCGAAATCGCTCACATGGAAGCCCTCGGTGTGCAGAAGTGCTCCCGGAGACGCCTGCTCAGTTCACGGCGCGCGGCCCTTTCCGGGCGCCTCCGCTTCTCGGCGAAGGGCCGGGGGCCGTGGGTCTCTCCGCGGCACCAGCAAGTGGCTCGCCGCTGGACCTCGGGGTCGCCGGGAGCGGAGCTGCCCCGGCGCCGCGGCGGGAGCGGCGCGCAGGTGCCGGGCTCAGGGTTTGCCGCCCGCCCGCGGGGGAGCGCGCCGCGCCTCGGGCCGCACGGCCACCACCCTCGTCCGCAGGCGGCCGTCGCGGCGCGCGGCCCGCGGTCTTCAGCCCAGGACCCACTCCCCGGGGCGGGCGCCTTTGTTCCGCTCACCGACCCGCTCATTCACGCCCGGCAGAGGGAAAGCCCGCGCCCGGCGCCCGCATCCTTGCGGCTCCGCAGTCACGCTCAAGTCTCAATTACTCTCAAAGTGGGGGCAGCACTAGGGGGCGGGCCAAGGGGCAGAGCGCGACGTCCTCTCCGCCCCTCGCGCCGGGGACACCCCACCCCGCCACCAAACTCACCAGCGCGCACAGCGCCGCGGGCGCCCGGACACGTTCCAAGCCCCAGCCCCACGCAGTGAGCCTTCGGGGCCTGCCGGTCACAATGGCCTCGCCCCGAGCTGGCGCGTCGCGAGGCTGGCCGGAAGGAGGAGTCGGACCTCAAAAGTCACAGCAGTTCTCTACCCCCTCCTAAAACGTCGCGGGGAGCGCGGCGGCGCCCCCTCGCTCGCCAGAACGGGCAGCGCCACTCGTCCCGCGCGCCACGGAGCCAAACGCCGAGTCTCCTAATTGGCGGACGCCGCGATACTGCCGCTGCGGCACCGAGAGCCCACACGGCCCTGGCCCCGGCTTGGAGAGCCCCGGAGGGGACGCGCAGGTGGCGGCGGAGGGCCGGGCGCGGCCCGAGGGGACCGGCTGCGGCGCCAGCTCCTCCGCCGCCGCCCCTGGCCACCGCTCTCCCCGCGAGCCGGGCGGCCACCGCCGCCCGCAGACTGCCCGGCGCACAGCTCCTGGCTCGCCGGCTCGTGCGCGCGCACCCGGAAAGGGTGGGGGCGCCTGGAGAGTAGGGACCGCGCGGGATGGGGGCAGTCAAGTCATGTTGGCTGCTGCCGGCGTCGGAGGAACCCTCTGGTTCTCAGCACTCCCCGAGCTGGCGGGTTTGTTCTATCCTGGGAGGAGATGAAGACATCCCTTTCTGTGTGCTCGCAGCTCCGCTTTGCGTGGCCGGGAATGGCTAGAGGGAAAATCTGGCCTGGAGACTCGGATTCTGTTACTTTGGGAGCCAGGCCGCGCGTTAGTGGGCTGGGGGGGGGGGCGGGGGGGGCTGTCTCCGTGTGAAAATTCTAACCGTCCAAGTCACAGTGTTTGTGCCCACCCACATTTTATCATAAGAAGCGTATTCTGGCTACTGGATTTCCGCGAGCTGTTCCTCTTTCCAAAGCCAGGCGCTTGAAAGGCTGGAATTCAAAGACCCTTCTTGATCCACTTAATTCCTTGGGCCTAAAAATGAACCCAGACTGCCAACTAATAAAGATCGGGCGGTAAAGGCCAATGAATCTGGTGGTTTCCACCTCACCGTTTCGATCTCACTGAAGTTTTTCTTTTTACTATTGGGTTTTGAGGGTTTTGGCTTTTCTTGCTTATTTATTATTTTAACTCGTTTTTTAACAGAAAGGTGCATAAAAAAATAACAATTTTTAAATTTTTTATTCCCTTGGAACTCGGTGCCTGGGTTCAATCGAATCTTCCTGGTTTTTTGTTTTTTTTTCCTTATATCGCCTACAAAAAGTGAATACAAAAGAGTTAAATGAAAAAGCCACATATAAAAAGCCCCAAGGGACCATTTCTAGCCACACCTGTTGGGCAGGAAAGGAGCCAAGGGCCTAGAAACCTGAGTTATTGGGTAGCTGTGACATGACAGGCGCTGGGGCAGTCAGGGTCCCCACAATATCTCACCGAGGACCCAGATGGAAGCTAGCACAATCAGTGGAAACTTCTGCAAAAATCATTTTCCAACATTTACTCAGCCGCAAGACTGAAGCCAAGGTGGCTGAGACACAGAGCTAGGGTGCCCCAGAAATGAGTGGCTGTAAACGCAGGTGGGTTTGACTCCCAAGCATGTGCCTATTTGGGAGTAGGAGACAGGAAGCAAAGTAAAGGGAACACCCTCTGAGCAATAGAGATGTTTCCACATAAGATGCAAATTCAGAGAGATTTCTTTTTTCCCTCCAAAGCAGGAGAGGTCCCTGGCCCCAATTAACTGATGATCTTATCATGCTTCTTATAGGCTTCTCTCCTCCCCTTCCACAAGCATCCTGGAAAACTTCTACATTCCTAAATGACATCTGACATGCTGAAGTCCATGAGTGACCCACTGTCAGGCTCACATCCTGAGCCCTGTCATCACAGAGAAGTGATCCACTCCCGCAATCCTGCACAAAAATTTCCCACTCACAATTCCAAACAAACGTATTCTCCAGCCACCAGCAACCCCTGTCTCCCTCCCAAGTATCCAAGCCCTTCCATCCCCTCTTTTTTTTTTAAATAGACTTATTCTTTTATTTTTTAAAAATGAACACATATACACATTCATATGCTCCCCCTTCTTTCTTTATACATTTTTTCTATTTTCGTAAAACAAGACATCCAGGAGAACACTCCCTGACTGTATGTAGATGGTCCCCATTTCTTTTTACCATGAACTGCAGCTTTAATCATTATCAAGTACCCTTTTATCTCATAATGCTTTCTGATCTGAATTCTACCTTTATGAAATGCCAAGACTGACACTCCTACTTTCTTTTCTATTTGATTTGATTGATTGATTGATTTTATTATTATGTTATGTTAATCACCATACATTGCATCCCCTTCCAATCCCTCCTGAGTTCCTTCCCTACCCTTCCTGGTTACTCTTTAGCTCTGATTACTTGTTTATTTCAAACACTTTCCCAGTAGTGGCCACAGTTCACACACTTTGTTGTGTGTATGCTCCCACTGTCCCCAGCCCAGCCATCTCCACCTCTGAATTAATCTTACCATCTTCTTTCTTGCACCCACGCCTCCAAGCAAGAGAGTGCGCTTAGTGAAAACGCCATCACCCAAAGCTTGGAGACCTTACCAGTTGGTGGTATCTAACTTGAACTGGATCCTTAATTCTTAATTCCATGATCCTAACCAGCTCCGCCCCCCCCAAGAGGTGCCCAGGGTAGACTTCAGAAGTCCATAAACACCCCTCAATCCAATACAAAAATGTATACGTGTGTGTCATATGGGCATTTTTCTGAGGGGGCAGCCCCCCAACTCCAACAGATTCTCAATGGTGGTCAGAGACACCAAAAATTTAAAAACCTGCCCGGAATATGTTGGATATGCAAAAACATAATCAAGTCAATATTTATTGTATGCCAATAAAAATCAGTGGCTCAAGGCACACCAGGTTGGTAGAACTCTCTAGTTGTTTGCATATGTTGATGGAAGAAAGAAGACTCCGGACAAAGGCCAGCAGCTTGTAGGGATGAAGGTTGAACTAATACAAAGGAACTGAATTGAACAGGTTCTGCCTGCTGAGGAAATCATCAGGCCTGGAAGGAACACACTTAGCCATTTAAACCACATACACAGAGACAGAAGGACCCACTTACAGTCCTGGAACCAGAGGCTCCCAGAGGGGTGGGCGAGCTCCCTCAATCAATGACTGCCATCCGTCTACACACCACTTGCCCCAATCCAGCTTGTAAAACCAACAAAACAACACCTCCAAGCCTCTGCGGCCTGTTCACCAGGAGATCCTGGCTCTAGTCCACCTGTTACCAAGAAGCAAATCAGTTCTTGACTTTTGGAGGGCTCCAAAAATCTTTCCCAATCATAAAACTCAGTTAAACTACAGATACTTTTAAAAAGAGGTTTATCGGCATGTTTGTTGGTTTGTTTAGCCAACTGACAGGAGGGCGATAGATGTATTTCTGTCCACGGTTCACGAAGGATTTCAATCCCACATACATTTTTCACTCATCCACCATGGCTCACATGATGCGCAACGCTGACTTCTCTGTGTCACCTTTCCTTGCCTGTTAAAAATCTCTCACATCTCACTCTGGTCTGTCACAGAAGCTAGAAAGAGTTGGAGGTTCATCAGGAAGAACAGTGGCTCATCTCTCTACAGAGGTTTTGCCAAGCTACTTACTCTTGCTGGAAGCAAGGGGTGGAGCTATCATTTTTCCCATAAAACCCTGAGCAACAGAAACTGGGGGTTTTATTTGGATTTCTTTAATAAGATAGAATTGACATATATCATTATATTAGTTTCAGGTGTGCAACATAATGATTTGCTCTTTGTGTACGTTGTGAAACCATCAGCAGTTAGTCTGTCACCTGTCACCATACAGAGTTAGAGATATTTTTTCATGTGATGAGAACTTTTATGATCTTCTCTCTCGGCAACTTTCAAATATACAATACAGTATTAACTACAGTCAACAGTCAACATGATGTACATTTACATCCCCGATGATTTATTTACTTTATAACTGGCAGTGGGTACCTTTGGACCCCCTTCACCCATTTTGCCAATGTACCGCCTATCTGCCTGCCCTGGCAATCACCAACCAGTCGGGAGTATGTGGGCTTCCAAGATGGGCACACAAGGCAACCCACTGGGGTATAGGAAGAAAATATTCAACTGCTATCCAAAATAAGAAAGAAATCAAAAGCTACTGATATTTAATATATGCAGAGTCACACATGCACATAATTTCTAAAGAACCGCATATATAATGGGCATACACGTCTCACATCTTTTCCTGGTAGGGTCCACCATTAAAAATCAATAGTCGTCTATTGGTCAACTTGCATGGAAACCCTGGGGATACATTTTCACTAAAATGCTTCCTTTCTGTTAGAAGTTGGATTCCTCGTGGCGTGGCGTGCCCCGCCGCGCGTCGGGACCGGGGTCCGGTGCGGAGAGCCCCTCGTCCCGGGAAACGGGGCGCGGCCGGAAAGGGGGCCGCCCCCTCGCCCGTCACGCAACGCACGTTCGTGGGGAACCTGGTGCTAAACCATTCGTAGACGACCTGCTTCTGGGTCGGGGTTTCGTACGTAGCAGAGCAGCTCCCTCGCTGCGATCTATTGAAAGTCAGCCCTCGACACAAGGGTTTAAAAAAGAATAAAAAAGAAAAAAAAAAAAGAAGTTGGATTCCTCCTAAAACTCAAAGA